CAACCAGGATGTGAGCATCACTATGTATTCAGCCCTAAAAGTATCAAGGTTTTGCCTAAATCCAGATAACGTAATGTACAGAGCTTGAAGGTGCTCAAAAGGCATCTTCTCTGCATGGGGAAAACTCCATGTCCATTTATGTTGTTGGTAATCAATAACTAGCCATCATATTTCATAAAACACTAGTTGCCTCCAGGGTTATAACATACTTGAAAGCATATCTTTGAGGTGAAAAGGATCGATAAAGGGCAGAGCTTTTTCCTTGTTGATTTTGAAGGCCAGTTATTACAGAACTGTGGGGGTCTCTTGCATGGTACATCAGACTTGTGGCTTTAAACTCCTCATCCAATGGGCAATTATATGGTCAAGAAGCAAGAAGCTCTTTATGCCCTGATCTTTTATCACCAGTGCTCTATTACAACAGGCTAAAGGTGAGCTCTTTACTTTCAAATGTACATGGACACAATTAGGAAAAAGTGGAATGCAAAAAGTACCCATTCTAACATGCATCATGAAAAACCATACATCATTTGGGAAGCACTGTAACGGGAAGAGTTAGTAAAGTGATTACATGCATCTCTTTGATATAAACAGAGTTTCTAATAATTAAATCTCTCTGAACAAAATATATACCCTTAATTTTGTTCTGGATTTTATGGCCCTCCGCAGAGCAGTATTTGCTCTACTGAAAAAAAATCAGGTAAGTAAATACACTGTGAAAGTGCTGTGATTTCAGAACACGTTTTTCTTAAATGTCAATGCTTTGCTGAACAGCAAATTGTTTAACGAGCTAGTATACTCTGAAAACTGCATGTATTTCCACTTCACCATGGCTGTATTTTGAATAGCCTTTTTCTCTCTAAGCTACCTAATGTGCCAATCTTTTAAAAACATGCAGACAAAGAATAGCACTATATGCAAAAGGATGGTTCTACAAAGACAACTAAAGTGTTTTCAAATTGGTGTCTTGCATGCTGCTTTAAGTCTATTTGGCAACCCAAAATGGATTCGCTGAGCCTCCGCAACAGCAGCAGGGAGTCCATACTGTCCAGTCATGCCAAATTCAGTTTGGCATGGTAGGGCAGGAGCCCTCCTCTCTCTCCTCCCAACCTCCTTCATGAGTCACATGACCCAATAGGAGGCAGAATTGCCTAGGAGAAAGGTAAGTGGCTGTATGGCTGCTATAGCCAGTAGCGACACCAAGGTGGGGGGAGACAGGGGAGGGAACAGCCATGGAAGGGGACAGGCATGAAGTTGACAGTAATAAGGAAATGTTATGAACTAACAGTGTTACAATCTGAAGTATCTGGCAGTTACTTGGCTTTTTGCTGACAATGAAGCCCCTTAGTATTACAAAACATGTTTCCCTGATGGAGATAAAAGTCACTACAACAGGTGTCAGATTTTTGGATTTTCTTTCTGTGCGTGTCTTTGGGGACCATTGGTGTAATTGATTCCTCTGTCTAAAAATGAGAGTATGCATACTCTATGATTAAGAATTAATGAGAGATAACTATCTTTTGCAGTGTAACAGTTATGGAGTTGGTTCATGGAATGAAATGGATGTCATCTTTGTCTTCAACAGCAAAGTGTCTTAGAGAAGCCTTGGGATTTAGCTTCTAAGAAACATGTATTGAACTGCAGTTTCCACTAAAAAGGATTACCTATTATGTATGCCTTTTGCATTTAGGAATATTACGTTAAGGATTTTGCCAAGTCAGTTGTTTCTCATGAAATGATTACAGAAAATTGATCTTCAGGAGAGATAAAATGAGATATAAATAAACATAATAATAATAATAATAATAATAATATCAAACACCAATTTTACTTGAATATCTCAGCACACTCACACATGTTTAAGTTTTGAAATTATTTTCATAGGTTTTAAGAACTGTACCTATATAAGCCACAGATTTTCTGTGTGCTTAGCTATGCATAAAAAAGAAAGAAAACAAATTAATAATAATAATAATAATAATAATAATAATAATAATAATAATAATTTAGATTCTGTCCTATCTCTCTGGGGGACTCAGGGAAAATTCCAATAAACAAAAGGGCAAACGTTCAATGCCTCAATAACAATAAATACAACTTTAAAAAGCCAAGATAACCCAAAATAAAGAGCAACTTAAGCATAACAGCTATAATTTAAAAAAAACATAATCAATTGAAAATTATAACTAACATATAACTTAAAATTCCTTCAAAGGTTTAACACTGTACTTATAAGACCATTGAGTAAATCTACATTTTAGCTGACTAGCTACTTATGGTCATAAATTTAGAAAGAAAAATACTCTTTTAGGCCAAGAACAAAGTTGTGCAGTCAAAGCAGAAGTGTCCACTTGAGCTATTCTTTAACATTTCAGGAGCACGGTGACTTGATACAATGGAACAATGTCAATTAGAAAGTTAACTATAGTTTATGGATGAACGGATAGTATGAGGTCAATCACAATGTCATAAGAAGAGAAGTGTTATTATTAGATACACTTTAAAAAGGAAGGGGTGGCCTTTAAAAGTTATATGTCTAATAATACATTGATTAGATGTGTGATAAATTTATCATTGGGAACTAACAGCTAAGTAATGTATCATTATATAATCCTAAACAAAAGGTCTTCATAATGTCACAGTGTCGGCTATGAGAAATTAGAGATTATTTCCTTCTATTTTTCAAATGGTACAATAACAAGCCTAGTAAGAATCTGAACTTTCTCAAGTAAGGATTACTCAGAAAGTTACATGTCTCCACTGCAGTAAAAAGTAAAGGTGTCTTGAAGATTCAGAGTAGTGAAAGAAGTAACTGATTTTTTAAAAAGTAACAATCTAAATTGTGGACTGGGTAAGCCTTATATCTAACTCCTTGTGTTTGACAAGACATTGCATGAGATTTAAGGGGATGTGTGGGGCTCCCTGTATAGTCTGACTATAGTCTGAGTGCTCCAGCTAGTGACATATGTAACAATGATGGGCAGTGGAGGCATGAATCTCTACCTACCAAACAACATAAACTGACATCAACAGATTTTGCAAGCTATAATCTTCAGACAGATATGTTACTAAAAAAAACATAATTGGTGATCTATCTCAAATATAAGATAACTTTACTAGCTTTTTTAGAAACTCAATACAGAAAAGACAGAAGTGCTCCTGGTCAGTTATAAGACTGATTAAGGAATAGTGATGCAGTTTGTGCTGGATAGAGCTATGCTCCAGAAATTTCAGATTCATATCTCAGTCATAGTCCAGATTATCAAATCAGACAATCCACAATTTCTGCTTTGAACTGGATTATGTGAGTCTACACTATCATAGAATCCAGTTCAAATCAAATAATCTGGATTTTATCTGGCAGTGTAGATGGAGCCCAAGAGTGTGCTTGCACAGTTAAAACTAGTGCATCAGCTGTGCCTATTCTATGATTTGACTACACCCTATTTGGATTATTGTAACATACACTACAAATTGTCTTTCTGTAAAATTTAGTAGGTACAATATATAGGATGCCTCAAAAAGATGTACATGATTTCAAATCAATACATCTCTGCTAACATGAGCTGCCCGTGAATTAATATCTTTCCATTTCAAAAGCTGTGGCATAGAGTTTCAAATTATTACTGCTAGATGCTTTTCCCAGTGTACTAATAGTTCCTCATTTGCACAGACAACTAAAGAGGATTCAAGATGGTGTAAGACTACTGGGATATTCCCCATTTGTGAAGTTACTCATTAAACCATTTGTAACTTTTTGGTAATTGTAATATTTTGCCATCACAAAATATATTGCATTGAAACCAAGTCCATCATATTGAAACACATGATATTAGTGGTGGTGAACTTTTGGCACATGTGCCAGAAGGGGCACGCAGCACTCTCTCTGCGGGCACACAAGCCATCACCTGCCCCCCTCACCTGTCAGCATTTGCTTGCCCGCCACCAGCTCGCCTGTCTGACACCTGTCCCCTTCCTTGCTCCTTGTTGCCTGCTTCTTTGCTCACTTGCCACTCACCCACTGCCTACCCCCTTGCTCACTCACTGCTTGCCACTCACCACTTGCCTGCCCACAACCTTGCTCGCTTGCATGGGTCTAGGCTATGTGAAAACGTGTATCTATCCATAAATGCCTGCCCAAGTCTTTGGGGAAAGGCTTTCTCTTGTACCATTAATGTTTCAGTAAATGTGAGTTTCTTCACTCCTGTCTCCAAACTGAGCTAAAGAACAGATTTTATCTACTTTGCAGGGGAATAAAAAACAAACTTATGGGTCATAGCTCAGTGATGAACACCTGATTATTGATTTTTTGAAGATGTAATTTAAATGTCCTCTGTCTCAGGCTGACTCAACTCAGTGGAATTAATGTGATTTGAGATCATCACTACCATGGCTCAATGCCATGGAACCCCTGAGTGCTGTAGCTTGGTGAGACACCATCACTCTTTGGCAAAGAAGGCTAAAGACCTTGTAAACTACAACTCCCATGATAACATAGGATTAAGCCATTACAGTTAAAATGGTGTCAAACTGCATTAATTCTACAATGTAGGTACACCCTCGGTTCCACGTGGAAAAGACAGATGTCTCCAGCATGGAGATATCTCCAAACCAACTGAACTGCAACACAAACAACATCTGAAACAAAACGTGAATCTGTAAATCCAGTACCATCAATTTTCTTTTCAGGTATGATTTTTTAGAAAAATGTTTTGCTTGATGAAGAGCCCAGTGGGCTTTGTAAAAGCATACATGGTGTACTTTGTGCATTTTGGCTGGCCAGTCAAGATAATGTTGTTTTGTGGATTCTGGATTTTACAAACTCCAGTTCTCCAATTTCTCTTCCTGATAGAAGCTACTTCAGTTTGCTTGTAGAAGACTGGTACACTTGATGTCTATAGTACACTGATGATAATGCTAAATGTCATCAATATTAAGAAATACATAAATGTTTAGACATAACTGTTTTTCATTCATTACAATTTTATTCCCCTACTCACTTGCCATTTAATGCTGCCACACCGACCGTGCTTCTGGCAATAGACATGCTGGCTACAAATGTCCACTGTTGACTTTGGGGGTCCCATCTCTCAACTGTGTTCAAATAACTCCAGCCATCATGACCTCCCACTGCATAAATTGGTCCTTCAAGAACAGTAACTCCTGAAAAGGAAAAGAGACAGAAAGGAGGAAAAGATAGCTATATATCAAGCCATTGAAAGAAAGATGTATAGAGTAAAATAGAGATTTGTGGGACATCATGTCAGAAAGTCAAGCTATCCCACACATAGTAGTTATGTCCTTGTTTCATAGTCCATGGAGTTACAGGAATGATAGCTAGGCTACACTAAGGCTGGTTACGATGCAAAATGCCAGTTCCCCCCTGGTTTGCAGCCTGGCAGGGACACTCCAAGCTGCTCTGGTGGAAGGATGGTGTTCACAATGCTCAGCCATGCCAAAGCTTGTTTGGCACTGCTGGTCCTCTATCCTACCCTACTGCTTTCAGCTAAAAGGGAAAAGATGGCTACAGAATGTTGTGCAGCTCCTTCCGAGCACCTTTGCCAGTCACATGGCATTGAACCAAGAAGAGAAGCTGTAGGATATGTGGTATGTGCCTTTTTCTTTCTTTCAGCTGGCAAAAATGAAATGTATCCGGACAGGAAGGCCAGACATACCATGTTCCCCGATCTGCCTGTAATGGCTGCTCTGCAAAGGGATCAGTGGAGAGTGTCAATAATTCTTAAGCACAGAGGAAATCTGAGCCCTGATGCAGGATTTAGGCTTTCCCTGTGTGTTTTTTCTTTAAAAGTTGGGGTGCAGTCAAATGAGGCAGCTTTTTTGGGTCAAATTGGATCAGCCTGTGTGTGAATGATCCAACTCTACACTGACATTATAATACAGCTTGGAGTTGTCTGGGAGGAACCAGTTTTGCTGTACAGTGATTAGGCTGACAGGTCTGGTGTTGGTTTGAGGCTAGGACAACGATTATATTGAACATGAAACCTGGCCTCAAACAACTTTGCAGGGTGTTGTTGTTATTGTTGTGGCTCCATTTTTTTGCACAGATTTGCGTCAGTGCACCGAAGAAATACAGGAGGAAACGTGACAATTAGGAACGGATTAACCAATAGGAGTGTTCAATTTGGGAAAACCCTGTGCCATTTTTGCTGCCTGGTTTTTGGCTGCCTCTCCCCATTCTGTTTGTAGGGAACTTCCTGATTTTGGTAGGGGTTTCTGTTTTCATGCCAGAAAAATTCAGTCCCTTTGTGCCAATGGGGAAACTTTAGAGGTTCATTTCTCAGCATGAAACTCACCTCACCTGTAGGCCACATGTACTACCACAAGCCTGCCATGTTTCAGAATATTTCACCAATCCACTTTTTTTTTGGGGGGGGGGGGATTTAGTTTTTACCATAACATTTAAAAAAACAACATAAGGGGGTTCTGGAAATTTAAGTTCTATGTGCACACCACAAGAGGGGAGGAGAATGGACATGGTCAACCAGGTCTCTGATTGGCTGAGAAACAAAGTGAGAAACACACAAAGAAAAACTTCATCTCCTATCATGTCCCAAGCGGGAACACAGTGCCCATGTCACACAAAATGCTTGAGTTCCCATTTGCCTCAAGCAGGCGCCCTTTGGGAAGGGATGGAAGAGCCTGCTGGGGAAAGAAAGCAAAGGAGGAGCTGCAGCTTGCCTGATTTGCAATGCTGCTCTGCCCACATAATGCCTTCACCTCACCTCAATGACCAGCCATTGCCAGAAGAGACAGAGATCTTCATCTATGCTGATGACCATGCCATTACCGCTCAAGCAGGGAGTTTTGAGATGGTTGAACAGAAGCCCTCCGAAGCTCTAGGTGTTCTTACCGCCTATTACAGGGAAAACCAGCTGATCCCTAATCCATCTAAAACACAGACATGTGCCTTTCATCTCAAGAACAGACAAGCATCCCGAGCTCTGAGGATTACCTGGGAAGGAATCCCACTGGAGCATTGCAGCGCACCCAAATACCTGGGAGTCCCTCTGGACCATGCTCTGACCTACAAGAAGCACTGCCTGAACATCAAGCAAAATGGATGCTAGAAACAATATCATATGAAAGCTGACTGGCACAACCTGGGGATCACAACCAGACACAGTGAAGACATCTGCCCTTGCGCTATGCTACTCTGCTGCTGAGTATGCATGCCCAGTGTGGAACACATCTCACCACACTAAACAGTGGATGTGGCTCTTAATGAGACATGCCGCATTATCACGGGGTGTCTGCGCCCTACACCACTGGAGAAATTACACTGTCTAGCCGGTATTGCACCACCTGACATCCGCCGGGAAGTAGCAGCCAATAGAGAAAGGACCAAGGCAGTGACATCTCCAGCTCATCCCCTGTTTGGGTATCAGCAAGCATGTCAACGACTTAAATCAAGAAATAGTTTTCTAAGATCTACAGAGACTCTCGCTGGAACACCCCAGCAAGCGAGAGTCCAAAAGTGGCAGGCTCAAACCCAGAACCTCAATCAATGGCTGATACCAAATGAGAGACTCCCCCCTGGGCACACAGAAAACTGGGTGACTTGGAAGGCACTGAACAGACTGCACTCTGGCACCACGAGATGCAGAGCCAATCTTAAGAAATGGGGCTACAAAGTGGAATCCACAACATTCGAGTGTGGAGAAGAGCAAACCACTGACCACCTACTGCAATGCAACCTGAGCCCTGCTACATGCACAATGGAGAACCTTCTTGCAGCAACACCAAAGGCACTCCAAGTGGCCAGCTACTAGTCAAAGGACATTTAATTAACTACCAAGCTTGCAAACTTTGTGTTTTGTCTGTTTCTTTGTTTGTTTTGTTAAAAATGCAATACAACTGTCTGGTTGCTCCTGACACGATAAATAAATAAATAGTTAGAGTGCTGCTCAACTCCATTAGCCCTCATTAGCTGAAGAAATCTGGCTGCTCAGATCAGTTTCGGATAAAGCTTCAGCTGTCCCCTGCCAGACCCATTTTCATGCATTTGGCAGACTAAGCCCCCAAATCGCAGGAATCTGAGGCACAAAAATGATATTTTGCACAACCTTAGTAATCAGTTACCTTTCCCAAAGGAGGCCAAATAGCTCCCTCCTTTTCAGCCATGCCTTTGGGGCACTTTTGAACAGCCCCTATTCTTAACTGTGCTTCAACAGGGACAAGTATCTACAATGTACTCCATATTCTGTGGAGCTGATTTTTTCTTGGATGTGAGATACACTGGCATCTTCTGCAGCACATTATTTGGTTGAATGCAGACTTTTGTGTGATTTTAATGTGCTGTATACCCTTAAATGTGTGCTACAATATACATAGGCACTGTGATCTTCCATCCACCCTGAATTGTGTTATATGGTCAGTGTAGGAGGGCCCACTGCTTATGAGAATTGGAACTTGAATGTCTGAAGCATATCTCTATAGAATTTTCATGGCAAATATTTTCTTTTTAAAACAATATTTTTATTATGTGGGCCATTCCTATGGCCAAATCACTAAATTCATGCTGACATTTCTGGAACAATTCCCAAAGGCTGCCCCCATGTACAGCATTTTACAGTAGTCCAAACAGAATGCAATCAAGGCATGTGTCACCAGTGTCACATCTGACTTCTCAAGTAACAGGTGCAGCTAGAATGCTAGTTTTAATTGTGCAAACATACTCCTGGCCACAGCTGAAATCTAGGTTTCCAGACTTAGATCCATGTACAGAGTCTGGGGTTTGTGTGGACAAGTCCAAAACTATGAGAATACAGTCGTGGCAGTGAAAAAGGATCTCTTCACTGTCACCACCATCATGATGTATGCTTTCCGATGTTTAAGCAACTGGGGATTTATGGAGAGATGGTCAGGTCCTGTGGCATTATAGGTAACACAGCTAGAAATATGATGGGAGGCTTGGAATTACCTGAACTTTTCTCAGATTTTAGGAAAAGAGAGCTCAGTTTACAAATTTTAATTCATATTTCAATGTGTGTGCATGCTCTCTTTCTTCCTGACTCTCTGTATGCACACATGTTGTCATATGTACCCATCACTGCTCTCAATAAGATAGGAACAAATTTGCTGTCCTCGGCATTATAGTTGTGCTATGAATGTGCATGGATTAATTTAAGCTACCAAAAGGCTTCATGCTGAGAGAAACAGTAGGAGGACCAATTGCTTTTCTGACTTGTGGAGGCTTATTGTCAAAAGATCTAAGAACTCCTGAATTCACTAATCCCCCAACAGCTCTTTGGGGCAGTTTAATATCTATAGTATATTGAAAGGAATATTTAAATTTTAGTCTTTCTTTACTTGAAAGACCAAACCGTACAGGTCTGTTTATTTTAAAAAGATCTCTGCACAGCTAGAATGGAAGTAAGTTACATCATCATCATGTATTTAATATCCCACTAAGAATATATATGGGATTGGTTGCAGGGGCTGACACTCTTTATAAAGTTTTCTCATTTTAATAGGAAAACTTAATTAAGGGTAGTTTAATGTTGCTGAAAGCAGGAGGAAGCAGCTTCTATTAAATATGTAGCTCCTTAGGGCTTTAAAAATAAATTAAAGAAGCATCTTCATTCTTTGGAAAGTAATAAACCTGCAGAGGTTGTAAAAATTTCTTAGGATTTCTGTGTGTTCAAATGTACTGAAAGTTCATGTTGCACATCTGTGGTTTGAAGCAAATTTTTTTGGGGGGGGGGGGTGCATGTTGCTCCATGTCAATCTCTTTTTTTAAAAGTGAGTCTAAGAAATCCGTATGCAGATAAAATAAATGCTGGGAAAGACAGGGAGGGGTGTGCCCTAGAGAGACAGGTGGGAGAGAGAAAGCTGCTTCCTTATTATAGTACAAACAATGATAGTTTCTTATGGTTCATGTTCATATGTTACTGGAAAATATGATTTGGAATGAATTTGACTGAATTTGGAAACTGGAGAAAGTGTATTTATGTTTTTGTTTTGTTTTAAACGGTGTTCATTTATTCACTTTATTTAGTTTTGACTTATATTTGTACATTTTAAATTATAGGCTAATGTTTTTTATGCTAAGCTGTTTCAGTCTCCTTTGAGAGAGATAAAGCAAGGTATAAAATATAATAATAATAATAATAAGAAGAAGAAGAAGAAGAAGAAGAAGAGGA